ATGGATTCATGTGAGTGTTTTCTGAACTGCCACCATAGTTAAGGTCTCATGGGTAAAAGAAACAATGTTGACTGTAAGAAGGCCCCTGCCAATGAACTGCAAATTTTTGCAGTGGAAAAAAGTTTGTTTAAACTACGCTTCAATTGGTTTTGCAACAAACCTGAACAACTTAATGGTATTACCTTTGCTGCTGAACAAATGGCAGATGGTGTCATTTTTCTGGAAATGAATTCAGATTCATCCCAACAGATCTTCTGTCAGAAACATGCAAACATATTGGTTGTTTCAAGTGTTTGAAAAAACGCCATACGCTGTTTTTTTTTCTCTTGAGGGCCGTCGCCCTTTCATCTTGTCATCCGTTCACATCTCAACCATCCATTTCTCATATTCTAAAGGCACGAGCCAGCAACAGCCAGAGCACAAATTGGCAAATTTCCTCCGTGTAATCACACCCAATGGCAGAACAAAAGAGCGCGAAAGGCGAGAGCGAGGGAGGAAAGCATTGTTTTGAAATAGGAGATGCTTGTATGTAAGATGGGCCCTAATTTGCTTATTTGTAGCTGTCAGTTGTGCTGTTATGTGCCCAGCGATCCAGGCCAATTGACAGGCAAAGGCTGCAAATGACAACGCGCTGAGGCACTTTTCAGACCCTATCTAAAGAGTCAAGCTTTTTGTACATTAGCACGCAGAGAACCAGGACAGCAACTCGTTTTTTTGGATGTTCCAATGATTTTTATTCCCCTCTCCTCTCCTGCCCTGCGCTCGCTCACTGATTCGCTTTATACACACTCTTTATCTAATTTTACGAGTGTGTTTGTTTTATGCTTCTTGTATGAAGCTGTTTTCTTTTTCATTTTCCAGTTCAACAGGTTGAGATGAAAGGGGTTTATGAAGAAATACATGCAGGGTTGTCAATGTGACAGTTATACTGTGTGGGAAAAAAATCTAGTCCCTCCCCTCTCCTTTCTCCTCTTTATCTTTTCTTTTCATTTCTTTCCCTTTGTTTTCCTTCCTTGTTCTCTCTTTCTCTATCCACTTCTTTCCTCGCCCCTCTTCAGTTCCTACTCTCCTCTCCTTATTTCCTTTAATCTCTTTTTGTATATCATTTCTGTCCCTCTCTCTCCTCTCCTCTCCTTTCCTCTCCTCTCCTCTCCTCTCCTCTCCTCTCCTCTCCTCTCCTCTCCTCTCCGGGGAGGATTAGTACAGAGTCCTTTTCATCCTGCTGTAATCCTACACTGGCAACTCGGCTCCAACAAGAACAAACATACACACACACACACACACACACACACACACACACACACACACACACACATTTTGCAGTGAGACATCTATTTGTTCACATACAATATGACCACATACATCCATAGTTTGCTTCATGTTCATGTGGAAAAGGAGAGGATGCTGGGAGATTTTCCAGTAAATTTTCTGCTCTGGTTGTTTCTTCTTCTCCAAAAAAAAAAAAAGGTGGAAGAGAGAAAGAGACATCAGGAATGAATGGGAGAGAAAGAGACATTAACAGTCTGATCTACCTCCCAGCCCGTCTCTGTCACCCCCCTCGAGGTGGGGCCTTGCTGGGACTCTGTCAGCTGAGCTCCCCCCCTGCTGAGACCTACAATGGCAGATTGGCAACTTTAATACCACAGCTCGCTTTATCTGCCTGAATTAAACCCACTTGGCGAAGTGTTATGGGAATTGTTGGCTCAGGGGCAGCTTTTTATTTATTTATTTTATTTTACAGGAATTATGTGTGTGGGCGCATTTTAGGGAAAAAATGTAATCAAAGGGATAGAAGCTTGAGGGGTATCATTCATAGGATTAAACACTGAACTAATACAGCTAGATCCAGAGCTGTTGTTAGCCCTTTATTAAGAAGGATGTGTGTTTGTTTTGAAAAGGATGGGGCCCATGTGTGTATGCGCTTACAGGAAGTGCTCGTGATGCAAGCAGGATGTGCAGGAAGTGTTTGGCTTGGCTGAGCTGCCAGCTAGGTTGTTGCCCTGAGGATTGCTGATGCGGGGGACACAGATGCAAAGACTTCCCCTCTTCTTTCCTGCATTGACAAGACATTTCACAGCAGAAATAAACACACACACACAGAAACTCAAGAAAAAAAGTCAGTTGGGACAGAAACTAAGCACTCCAGGAATATTGCTGTGAGCTGGACTCGTTACTCTCGGTTGTCAATTAATTGAGCCATCCATCAGTTTTATTCCACAGTGCGGAAACAGGGGAACCTGGTCACTTATGAAACAGGGAAGTGTGATAGACAAGCCACACTCCCACTTATTACATAATCAGTCCATGTCCCCACTGCAGAGAGGGCAAAGTTGCAGTGTCAAAACAGGACAGGGTATAAGAGGAGGGTATGTTGGGGCAAAGCAGTCATCAGAGGTGAGCCTGAGCTGTAGGGGTGGGCGATTATGGATAAACTGTTCTAGCATAGAGTATATATAATTTTATCAGGGATGTGATTTTTCCAGATTAATCTGGAATTCCAGATTGTCCGACCTGAAAATGCGACCCACGTGAATGCAGATCTGTAATTTAAAAAAAAAAAGGGGGGGGGGGGGGGGGTACAGGAGCTGGCCGAGTGAAAGAGTGAAATTGGCCTTAAACAGGCAACAACCTTTGCTGCTGTCTCTTATTCATTAAAAATAATCTATTAACTTTAACTGAACTAATTTGAAAGTTAGTAATTATATTTTGTAGTTATAGACTCAATTTTTTCATGTCGGGAGGAGCGGTGGCGCAAGGGATTAGACACAATTGTCTTTGATTCCCACTGCGACACACACAAGTAAGTTATTGTCATGGCTCCTGCTTTACCATCCATATGCTGTTTTATGGTTTTATTGGTATTAGGGCTGAATGATTGGGGAAAAAATCTAATTGCCATTTTGTTTTGAATTTTTTCTAAAGTTCAATATTCACTGCCAGTCTATTTTTGACTGAAGCCGCATCAAGCAGCACAGAGCAGATGAACCAGGCAGGAAGTCTGACACAGAATGGCAGAGAGAATCCGGTCGTTTTTCAAAATAAAACACCTTCTGCAGACTCTTCATCGTACATCAACAATAAACACAGTTAAAACAGACAAAAAAGGAAACAGTTTAACTACGTTACTTAACCATAGTAGAAGTTCAAAAATCAAGGCCTGCTGAACAAATAAGCAAAATCTGGACAAGTCAGAAAAATCAGACAGGCAAAACGCTCTTATTCTGAAACTCTCCGTGTATATGTAACATTAGCATGCAGAGAGCGGAATGGAACGGGCCGACAGAGAGTTGTTATCCATACATCCATAATTGAAGCACACAAAATGACAAATTAACAACACGTTAACAACGTGTTGGCTAAATGCTCTGCTGGTGAAGTTCATGTGAGTTGACGTCGGACAAAACCGCAGCACAGCCGCTGCCTGTGTCTGTTCGGCTGGCGCCATTATCCCACGTTTTCCTCTAGTTTCGTTTGTTGAAAAATGTACACGCCTGTGCCCGCTCTGATTGGTGAATAGGACCGTAACAGGAGGCGCGTGGCGCTTGTGATTGGCGAGCAGATCTGTCACACAAGGATGACAACGGAATGAATTTGTAACTGCGTGACTGTTTAAAACGGGTCAGATGCGCTGGATAATTAAGCTACATTTTAATCGCATTCTTTCAAATCGCAATTTCGATATAAAAACGATTGATCGTTCAGCCGTAATTGGTTCATTATATATTTCTGGAAATTGAATTGAGAAACAGTTAAAAGATGAAATAGTCAAAATAATCTATTAATATCTGCAACATGAAGATGTTACGTCACACTGATGCACAATTCCTGTAAAACCAGTATTGCCATAAATACATCCTGCTTTATGATTCTGGAATATATCATCCAACACAAGTCAGCTGCCAACATGAGGTATAAAAAATGGTGTTATTTTCTCGATTCATGGATTTATCTCAATAACCAAAATGGTGTCTTCAGACGTCTTGTTTAATCCAAGTAGCAGTCTACATTTACAGATTTAACATCATGTACAATAATAATTTTTGTGAATAAATGATTGCTCAAAAAGCTGAAATAAAATTGCCATTGTTAAAGAGTCAAATTCAAAGAGTAGAATTCTATTCCTTAAAGCCCATAATCACAGTTTTGTCTCAGAGGGCTTATCAATCCGAAAAGCTTGTAACACCCTCCATTAGACACTCATATGGCTGAGAAAATGGAAGTACAAATCAGGTGGGACCCCATTTCCATGATGTGCCGGCGGTGTTAAAAAACGAGACCGTAGGGAGAGAACTGTTATCAGTGCACATACATCCTCGTCGCCAAATTCTCAGTACCCTGCTCCTTTGCTCACGCTCAGTGCCTGTCCCATATCTTCTGTGTTGACAGCTGATGGGAAGATGGCCTGCTCAGTCAAGGTAAAGAGTTGCACCAAGTCTGGGAGGGAGAAGGAGGACATATGAGCTCTTATACATACATGACCACATCCTTATCACTCCCTTTCATCTAGCTGCTGGGCCTACTGCTCCACTCATCAACCACATACATTATAGATATACATCCTGTATATACAACCGGGGCGGGGAGCACACACTCCTCCTCATGAGGAATAGAACCAGTGTATGAGAAAGCAAGAGAACTCCTGTGTGTATCATAGTCTCCTCCATTGACTCACATGTTAGAGTTTCTTCTTTTTCACAAGAGCTATGGTTGGATTTAATGGTCTCAAGTGTTGTTTGCTGAATTATCCATTTTCTTGGACTGTGCTCCAACAACTGCTTTCACACTTCACCAGATGTACTGGATTCTCGGTGCCTACAACTTTGTTCAGAAGAAACTGAAATTACGTCAAGGGTGAAAACGTCCTTTTAATTGTCCTTTTAAAATGTGCCAATGTGAACAAAAACAGCTTTAAAAATTATAGCATAATAAAAAGTTAAAGCAACAGCCAATAAATTGATTAATTCCCCTGTTTGATTTTGTTTTTTTATGTTCTTAATCAGACTCGTCGGGCCAGGTGACCTCCTCGCCGCTGGGCTCACCCACATCCCACCGGGGAATGCATCCGTCTCTGCTCAGCCCAACGTCCATGGGGCCCTCCGGCTCTCTTCACTCTCCCATCAGCACGCTGAGTTCGCCCATGAACGGCCTGGCCTCACCCTTCTCCGTCATCAGTTCGCCGATGGGTCCCCACTCCATGAACTCGCCCGGCATGGGCTACGGCCCCAGTGTCAGCCCCCAGGTGAGGCCTGTGACAGACTCACAAATATGCATCTATATGTGTGTATATATTTCTACAGCTGCATATTCAGGCATTGTGTTTTCAAGGTTACTTGCTCCCTCAGGAATGTTGAGCCGGTGTATAAAGCATAGAGAATAACATGATGGGTTTTATTGCAGGGTTCTTTATGGTAACAAACCATCTACAATATGAACTGTATTTCTCCAGTTCTGTTGACAGTTGCTAATGTCTGATTTGTTTGAACTTCAGTAAGTAAGTAAATCTCTGAATTACCCTGAATTCTGCATAGTAGCTTCAAACTGATGCTTATTATACATTAACTGTGCTACACTGTTTCCATATGCAAGAGTATAGACGTGCATTGTCTCTTTTCAAAAGCACAGTTTGACATTTTGGGAAACACAGCTTTAAGCTTTGTTGCCACAAGTATGATGAGATATCACTTACATTGCTGTTAAATATAAAGCTATAGAAGAAGGTTAGAGAAGGTTAGCTTGGCTTAGCATAAAGACTGAAAGCAGGGCAAATAGTTAGCCTGGCTCTCTCCAAAGATGAAATAAAACACCTTTCTGTAACCCTAAAGCTTATCTCTCACAGTGATGACAAGGCTCCAGGAAGTCACTGCACCCGGCCAAGAAAAAGTGATGCATGTAACTCGCCCTAAAACCACAACTTGTTGTTTTATAATGATTAAATGAACACTACATACAGAAACTTGGTAATCAGAAAGATTTAGAGGTGGTGGTAGCTGATATTATATTTCTTTATTTTTTTCCTTTTAACCTTTAGACAGAGCCAGGCTAGCTGTCCCACTCTGCTTCCAATCTTTATGTTAAGCTAAGCTAACCATCTCTGTAGATTCAAATGAAACAGACAAACTGAGAGTGGTTTTGATCCTCTCATTAAACTCTTGGTCAGAAAGTGAATAAGCATATTTTGCAAAATGTTGAGCTATTCCTTTAAATAAACAAGCAAATACTTTTGGGTTTTTTTTAAAGGCCTTTTAGGGCCAAGCTAAACATTGAGCCGCTGATTTATCAAATTCAAAAACCAGAAAGCTTCATGTTCAGCAACCTCGACCATGTTTTCATGAGGTTTTGCTGTGTATTCAGTCTCTACACAAAAATACAGCTGTCCTAACTAACCAGACAAATGGGTGTGCATCATGCCTTACAATGTGTTCACATGCCTCAGAAGTGCAAATTACAGTTGCCTACACACACGCACACATACACGCAAACATAATTTTCCTAAGCCAGGCCCCAGCAGATAGAAGCCTTGCTATGACCCCCTGCCACAGTTAATCAAGGCCTATTCAACTGGCATTCCACAGTACTTCAGCTCTGTCACTCTTTCTTCTATGTCTTAGGCATGTTGTCACTCTCTCGCTCGTCGTATCTTGCTTCCTCTTCTATCCCTTCATTCTTCGTCTCTCTGACTGTCCTCTTACTTCTTTTTTTCACTTTCTTGTTGTTTTTTTATCCCTTGTCTCTTTCACACCATCTTCCAGTTCCTCTTCTTCTCGGCCACTGTAGTTTTTGTTCCATCAATAAGCCCCAGTTTCTTTGGTATTAAAAAAAACACACACAATTAAGACATCAAAGCCTGCAGTGGCCCAGTTTCCGTCTTCAACCATATCTAAAATTGAAATTGCCCCCCCACCACCACCACCAAATTCAGTGACTGGCCTTTTTTTGTGTTTGTTAATAATTATGTTAAAGTGTGTCTGCAATGTGATGCTATTTGGGATGGGCTCTCCTCGCTATTGTTGGGCTTATCGAAGAAGTGTCCCACATGTAATGGAGTTAAGAGTGGATTAGGGGCACTTTCAGAAAGTGGCCAGAATCTTTCATTGCTAGAAAGCCCCTCTTCCCCCTCCCCACCCCTCGCTTTCTGATCCTTCTACACTTTTTAATTCAACACTTTCATCTGTGCTGCAGTTTCTTTCCCGGAGCGGTGTACTTTGGATGCAGGTTGGATGTTTAGGTGGCAAACGTTACAGTTGATCTTCTACAGTCTGTCTCATTTCAGTCGATCTATAACATGAGCTTTACTGATTCTTTAACAAGTATACACACTTAGCGTGTAAGTATGGATATATTATGGATATCATGAGGTGTCATGTGCTGTAAGAGTGTTTTTTAAATTTTTTTTACATTTTTTTACTTACTTAACTGCTTCTCAGCCAACCCTGCCATTTATAACAGCTGTGTAAAGAGTAGGTAACAGTAGGTGTTTCTGTTGGTGGTGACAGTTTTAATACTGTATGTACAGTAATTACAGCATGTATTTAACTTGTGTTATGGGCCATGGCTGGTTTCCACTCTGTAAAAGTGCTGCATTGTTTTGAATTTGCTGAAACAGCTGGTACCAAGAGAAAGAGCTCCAAAAATGACCATAGCACTACTTTTTTTTTTTCAATTTGTACTGTTCACATTCTTTAAGTTGTGAAATAAAGACACGGGGATGTGAGGCGTGTTACTGCAGGTAATGGCAGCCCATAACCCTGAGTTAGGGCTGGGAATCAAAAGCGATACTAGTACTGATATGATATCTGAATTTCATTATCAATACCAAAACAATGTCTTCCTTTGAGACACCCTCTTCTTTACTATCCACTCACTCTCCAAAAGCTGACTGAATGCATAAGAAGTGTGTTATAAACTAATTATTTTATGTTTATATAATGCACATAGATGCTAAATACAGAGCCTTAAAATACAATGTTGCCAATTTTATCAAAGAAAAAAGTCTACCTTGTCAAAAAACCTGTTTATTATTATTACTCAAATTATGGTACCCAGCCCTAAATGTGACAGGTGCACACGGTGGAGGATTTGAGCCGTTAACCATGAACATTTGCATAGCTGAGACTGTAGAGGCTGCTGATTGTTGCTCAGGGCGGGTGGAGAATGGCAGTTTGATGTCAGACCACGGCTCAGAGGTTAAAGATGGTGGCAGGGCCCTGTGGTCGTGAGGCGCGGCACTTCTGATGAGACGTGATTTGAGTCAGACGGCGTATGCCACTTAGTGTTAACACTCGGCTGACTTGCTGTTATTATGAGCGGTTGACTGGAACAAGGTCACAGCTCAGCCTCTTCCCTACTTTACCGCCCAGAGGCCAGTACAAGACCCCTGCCTATGCTAACCACACACTCTCTCACACCCACACACACACACACTCACTGTTAACTTACATTGTATAAGTTGTCTTCTTAAATATCTCACATGAACATATAGTATGTCATAAAAAAGTACCATGAACTACAATCATCAGTCTGTTCATTTAACAGGAACCAAACATTTAGATGCATAAAACATAAAATCCAGGTGGAAATCTGATTATACCAGTCTGGTTCTTATTAAAATACTGTGTAATTTTCAATGGAAATTGGTAAAAAACAAAACAATGTATCATAACTGTCCTCTACATCAAAGACTTAAATGACAACTTGATGAAAGCAGAGGACGAGATGAACAAAACTCCCATTCTTACTGGACTCTTACATCCTCCAAAAGCCAAACCACATGTAAAGAGAGAGACAGTCCTTTATCATCAGCCAATTCTTACATCTCAAACAGCAGTACTTCCCCTTGAGCTCTACCCGAACATCCAGACACACTGAAGTACTGTAGTGTTTTGGAGGTTTTTTGTGTGAAATACGTTTTAGTTTGTCGCGTCTGTTTGGAGATCTGCGGTTGTTGAAGAACAGAAAAGCATCTGCATTGTTCTGAGGAGTCCCACACACTGTCAACAATCGTATTTTGAGACAAAGACTTAGGCATACTTTGTCTTTTGTTAAGTGGTTTTGCCATTATGAGACATGTCATCTTTTTGGTTTTTTTCTGGAGCTGAATGAGGGGAGACATGGTAAGACATCTCTCCAGGTATCTGGTCAGGGACGATTCCGGGCCACAGCAATGCCCATTACGATCAGACCCATCAGTGGTCGTGTCTGTGGGCTTGATCTCTACACACAATACAGACCATCTCTAGATCACAGACACCACAACTCTCCAAGCAGCTGTAAGGGATTATTCGCAAGGTTGGAACACATTTTACGCTTCCTATGACAATGGAGAGAGTTGTCTGGCTGTTGGGCCATTATCGGACCACAGCCTACTACCATTTTCCATTTTGTGGCTCAGTCTGTACCCCTTTGGCTTCTGCACTCCCCCACCGAGACCTTCCTGAGAATACTAAACCAACAACAGGCCTCTAGTGTCTCTCTGTACGCCTTAAAAATACATATAAAGTGTGAGTGTTTCTGGAGTCCAGCGGCGAAGAACCACACGTGAAAAAGGTGTTAATGTTTTACAAGAAATGGAACGCGCTCTTAATAAGTTATAAATGAGCAGCGGTGGTGATGTCATGAGCTGGTTTTGGGTACGTCGTGTTTAGGCAAGGGTCGCTAGGAAACTGAAGCACAACACACTCTAGAGAGAGAGAAAGAGAGAAAGAAAGAGCCCCTTCCTGTGTGGGAGTAATAAAGGTCCATTCCGCTGCTCTGGTCTTTGATGGACCTTGCTGTAGTCACTCTGCATGACATCATAGTTGCATGGCTCTAATGGCCACACAAAGGGGCTGTGTTGAGGATCCCAGGAGAACAGTTAAGGCTCTCTAACGTCAATCAGCCCTCAGATGGATGGGGGAAAAGCATTTTTTTAGCCAAAGCTTGTCTCCAGGTAGCAATTAGAAGCAGTCGTACTTTTTCCCCCCAGCACTGGTAGTTCAAGGAAGTGCAACTAATGTGTAGAATGAATTTAGTTGTGCTCCATTAGAAGTTTAGTACACAGTTCTTTAGTCTGTAGTTTCTTGTAAAGAAAACATTGTATTACTTAAAGACAGGCCTTTTTTTCTGTTACTGTTTATCATATTTTAGAAAATTCCCTTTCCTTCCCTGGGAAGCTTTTATTCTGAAAGATAGGCAGGAAGTGTTATTTTGTTAAACAAAGATGAAAATCATGAAAGTGCAGACAAAGATTTAGTGAATAACAAC